GGGGGGGGGGGGGGGGGGGGGGGGGGGGGGGGGGGGGGGGGGGGGGGGGGGGGGGGGGGGGGGGGGGGGGGGGGGGGGGGGGGGGGGGGGGATGAGAATGTATGGGTGTGCGAAGCGCACCTGCACTTCTCCTGGTTTAGAAGTGCCTGATAGAACGTTGCCCCGCTCAAGGCCACACGCGACTGCTGTAACTTGTGTGGAATTTATGCGGCTGGCTGGAAAGGCTTTACTTGCACGCCAGTGGGAACACATCCTCTTTTCGAGTATTCAAGTGCAAAGAAGGGACAAGTACAGTACGTGGTGCAAGGGCGAACAACAAACTCATTGCTCATGTCAAGACTGTGCCTCACCTGCTGTGTTGTAAGGGATGAGAAAAAACCACAGCTAGCTACTGCTTGAGGGGAACATTGCAGCAACATTGATTTTTTTCTTGTCTCCTTCCTCCTCTTGTCTTCTTACGCTACAGCGTGGAGACTACGTCGACATCAAGTGCAACCCCTCCATCCACAAGGGTATGCCCTTCAAGTACTACCACGGCAGGACTGGCATCGTCTTCAACGTTACCAAGACCTCGTTGGGTGTGCGCGTCAACAAGCAGGTGCTCACTATTATGAACCTTGACGTTAATCGCATATGGCTCTATTAATAAATATTGTGGCGGTGCTGCTAGAGTGATCATGGTGGTTCGTGTGTAGTCATGGAATTGTTGTCTTTTTTCTTGTTCATGCATGATCGGTGCTGCATCTCTCCCCAGCAACCGCGCCTTCTCCCCAAGATTGAGGTTTTCAACGGCTGTCTTGAAGACGACCAACAGCTCTGCTGCCCTGTGTTGGCAGCGCCCACATGAGACAAGGGCAAGACGGCGACCAGCAGCATTGCTGGTCGCCGTCTTGCCCTTGTCTCATGTGGGCCCTCCCGACACGGGCCAACGGAGCTCTTGGGCGTCTTCAAGACAGCCGTTGAAAACCTCAATCTCGGCGAGGGCGCGGTTGCTGCGAAGAGATGTTGGGATGTCGATGGCTTTGTTGTGAGCATGAGTGGTTTCAGACCTGTATTATCGTCAGAGGGGTGTCCGTCAGCTTAGCCTGTCGCTCGTGATATTCGATGCTGTCTTGGCTGCCCCTGCAGTGGTCACCGATGTTGAGGTAGTAGCGCTGGTCTGCGGGACTGCTGTTGCGATCAACTTTCTGTTTTAGATGATCGGTGCTGCATCTTGGGAACGATAGCTTGCCTTGTTCTGTACAGGTATATACACGCGTCGGGGTTTTTTTATGTTGAGCGAAGGTGTTGTTCGGGTGTTCGTTTAGCCTGTTGCTCGTCATGTGCGGTGCATTTTGTGTATCGCAAGACTTGCCTTTCACCTCCAGCTGTCCACGGTATTATTATTTTTTTATTTCGTTTCCCATCATTCGACTCTGTCGTCTGCCTGGCCCCTATCCTTTACTTCTACCACGCTAGACGACCCAACCGGGGTCACATATGAGGGGGGGGCTGGACCCCCTCCTGTGGTTCCTGCCTGAGATATTTTTATCGCGAGAAGGGTACAGCAATCCCTTCCCTCGCGACTTATGAGTCGATCAAGTTTACTTACAAAGAGCTGTGCAGCGCGTCGCTTCCAACGGAGACCAGGATTTAATTAGCGAGAAAGAACTCACTCTGTCGGGACTCGAACCCGTGACCTGGCCCTTAGCAGGCTGCGAGGCTACCCACTAGACCACCGGGGCGACCGGTGTTGTGTCCGTACAAAGCAGTAGATGCAACCAGTTTTCCTTCTGTGGCTGTTAGGAGAAATGTGTTTCCGCCCTTGTATACCTATAGTGGAGCATGCACGACCCCACCTATCGGCGGAAGTCCACCGTAGACAGTCCAAAGCTAACGAACCCTTGTCGCACGTCTCGAGGCACCCACAACGAAGCGATGAAGGTGCAATGCGGCACTGTTTTGCCTCGTTCTCAGCGGGATTTCGGAGAACGTGGTTACCTCTTCTTTGTGTGGTGACACCGTTTCGCGGTGGGGGGGGGGGGGGGGGNGGGGGGGGGGGGGGGGGGGGGGGGGGGGGGGGAGGGGGAACGCTGCGCCCTGGATCGGCAGCTATCTGTTAGGAACGAGTGCCCTGAAACAAACGCCATCGTTTGCGGGGGCGGACAACGAAGCCCCCAAGATGCCATCGTATTAAACCGCTTTCGTATCGGCTTGTGGAAGTCTGCGCATGCTTGCGGTCTGAAACGGACGGTCGATGGTGTAGACCGACCTGTGGATGGTTTGTGATGGTTGATCGCACGAAAGAAGTGTCAATACCTCGTCGCTCCGCCCTCGGCTGTGTTGAGTTTTCTTGCTGTCTGATGGAAGCGCATGGCGCGGAAGGACCGCCGTACGGATGCTTGGGCCTCACGCTAGTGCGTTTTTTTTGCATTGCAGCAGGTGGCCCGATATTGTGTCAACTTGAGTAGTGGAGCTTAAGATATGGTGGCATCAAAATCCCTGGTGAAAATATCAACCATGTACATGAACCCGATTTACTCGGAATAGTGGCGTATTCTCCTCTTACCCGTACATGCCACTATGTCGGGCCACCTACTGCAGGAAGACGGCGCTTGCCGCCGGTGCATGCATTATTCGGTGAGGTTGTTGACGATTGTGTCCTTGCATCGTCTGATGCCGTGTTCCGCGTCGCACTATGTCTTCTCTCGTTTTTTTTCTCAGGTGAACGGTCGCATCATCTCGAAGCAGATCCACGTCCGCGTGGAGCACGTGTCGCCGTCCAAGTGCCGCGACGAGATGAAGAGGCGCGTGAAGGAGAACGAGGCCGCCAAGAAGGCTGCAAGGGAAGGAGGAGGTTAGTGCGACGGTGTTCTGTACGTCGGTGGTGGTTGGTTTGTTTTGTTACATTACGGTCGTTGGCTGTGCTCTCTGTTGGTTTTGTGTCGGTCTTGTCCAAGGCGGCAAGGGCAGGAGGAGGATAGTGCGGCGGTGCTCTGTTTTTGGCTATCGTTGTTCGGTTGTCTATGTGATATGTGTCGGAGGAGGTTAGTGCGGTGGGGTTGTTGTGTCCGAGTTGTGCTGTCATTGCCGTGCTTTTGATTTTGGGTCGGGATTTCCAAGGTGATTAGGGCAGGCAACGAGTTTAATGCGGCGGTGCTCCGTGTTGGCCCGCGTGTGGTCTTACCATCTCTTCTGGCACATGTCCAATGCACGTTTCGGTGTAAACGTTTCATGTATCAGCCGAGGTCACAGAGGAGCTCTTGTAGTTTATTTTGTTTTCATGGGCCGCTTCTCCTCCTGTTGTGTCAGTGTTTCACATGTGATCCTACAAGTACTCCTGGTAGAGATCAGCCGTTTAACAGCAAGGTGCCGATCTTGCCATCGATCCACTTTTTCCGGTAACACGCATGCGGTCTAAGTTCTACCACAATGTCTCCCTGTCGTTTGCCCTTCTGTAATAATCGCGTCGTTCATTTAATTAAGATGTTCTTTTGTACCAAGCAGCACTGCTCTCATGACCCGTTCCTTGCCCCCCCGCTCGCTGACCACCACACGAGCCCCCCCCAAAAACATGAGCTTCTTCCTCACCCCGCAGCGACCCCCCCCCCCCCCCCCCCCCCCCCCCCCCCCCCCCCCCCCCCCCCCCCCCCCCCCCCCCCCCCCCCCCCCCCCCCCC